AAGAGTCCTGGGAAATCACTCTAAGGCAGGGTATCAGTGCAGCTCCCTTTGCCTCAATTAATTGACTTAGGTAGGCAACACACATCTGATGAAATGTGCCCAATGTGGTTTCTGCTTGTCTGCTACAGTTGTGGTGCAGTAATTAACAACGGGGGGGTTAAAATTTCCTGTAAAAAAAAAAAAAAAAAAGTCATTTAGTCTGAAAGTATGTAAATGTGGTGTGTAGGAAAGGTCGTGTGCCGAGTGACATATGTGTGAATTTTACCTTGTGGCTGTTTCCTCCAAATGCAGTGTAACGAGCTGTGACGTTGGCTTGAAAATGTTGTGAAGTGTCCGTGCGATGCGTTTTGAATTGAAAGCTAAGACAATAATAAATCAGCATGTATATGCTTTCTAATATTTCCCTCTTAAATATCACAACCCAGGAGGTCATCATTAAACCTAGAATGAGGCTGGCTGGCATCATCCCCTCCATGATGCCCACTCCCATGTCTTGCACCCCTGAGCCCACGGAGAAGAGGGACTGGAGCGTGGAGCTGTGCTAGTGTGGTACTGGGTTTCTGGACTGCAGCTGACTAATTTCTGACTGATTCAAGGAGATCAAACACACTCCTGTCTGTGTTTGTCCACACCTTAAATGCTTAAAGTATTGTATTTTTAAAAGCTGCTTAAACAGTCGCACTCATTTTGGGTACCGTTGGTGTCTAGGTTGCTTAGCTCTTGCAGCTCTTAGCCAAGTGATGCCTAGAGACCTTGAAAAACGTATAAGGAAATGCTGGGTAATTATTATTCTTATGCACTCTGACTCCTGTAATGTCTGGATGGGAGGAAGCCCAGGCCAGCAAACGTGGTGGCACGGAGGGGTTTCGCTGTTTCATTCCTGGCTGCTGTGATTCCAGCCGTGGCAGATGTCCTGCAAATGCAATTTTCCAGCTCAAACACTCTCCAGTTCTGTCCAGAACTGCCCAAGAAGCAGCATTTTAATGCTTTTGGCCTCGTGAAAGTGAAGGGCAGCTGTGGAAGGGCCAGAATACTGCTTTTTGTGTGCGTCCCTAGAACTGTGGGCCCAAGGAAATGCTGGACTCGTGCAACCTATTTCTTCTCAGTAACTACAAAGGATTAAGCGTGGTGGTCCCATCCATTACCATGTGACTTTCAGAACAGGAAATTCTCCTGTTAGTCTGATTTTACAAACTGGGAGCATGTTGGTTGCATCTCCTTGATGTTGTATGTGGTCCATCCATGGAAAAGGTCAGGTCTGACAGGGCTCCACGCCAACTTTATCTGGTTGAAGATGTCCCTGTTCATTGCACAGGGGTTGGACACGATGACCTTTAAAGGTCCCTTCCAACCCAAACCATTTGGCTCCTGTCCTGTGACTGCTGAGCATGTGAGTAAGTGCTGCCAGGAGGTGTTGACCTGCTAAACACAGGTCCTGAGTGCAGGGTCCCAACAGTGCTTAAGGGAAAAACGTAACAGGGATTTAATTATGCCCTTGTGCAGGCGTAATGTGTGTGTTCTGCATCTGTGCACATCTGTGTTGAGTGAGGTGGGGGTGTTTTGTCGCAGTGCAGCTACCTGGATTGGCTCTGGCCCGCTCCTTACAGCTCACATCACCGCCCAACATATTTTTCTGGGAGGAAAAAAAAATCCAAAAGTCCAGATTTATCTTCATCTTGGGCTTTCACCTCCATTTTAGTTAACTTTTTTCTACATAATCAAATACATTTCTGCCTTGATAACCTGTGATAAACAAGGTTGTCCGTAAGCCAACAGAGATATACGTGTAGCTTTGAAAATCAGCCTCTTCCTTTTCATTTATTATGCAGGTGTATGACCAACTCGTTTGGTGATTTGGCAATTGCCTTTGAGCAGGGTATGTTCAGAAGGTATGGAGAGCCGGTATCCTGCTTGCACAGACCTTCATCCCTTTTTTTTTAAAAAGTATGGGCTGCAAGAAAAATAGCTTCTTGGCTGCAGGAGAAAGCCCATTATTTATGATTTAGTCATTCCCTGACAAGCCACTCCACCTTGAGGGATCTGCATATACAAAAATATGGTACAAGGAAGCCACCAAGAGCCATAAGTCTTCCACTCAAGTAAATCACACTGAGCAAGCCTGGGAAATGTAGATTATCCAGCTGACTTGGAGAAGTAGTTCTGTCACCGCTGGCCTGATCTTGCCATCACCACCCACTGAAAACTCACGGCGCTTGTGCTGCCTGTGACATGAAATGCTAAGCTCTTTTCTGAACTTTAAAGGTGGCTTTATTTTGGAAAGAACAAAGAGTAACCTTAGTGATCTCTGTCAGAAAATAAGGACCTAAGGGTGCCATTGCTGAGCACGTTAATTTTTATGCTGACAGAAACGAGACGTGACATAAAATGTCTTTTTTTTCAGTGCAAAGAGAGCAATAGGAATGACTATAGGAATGTTATCCTACAGCATAATTAATGTGCTGCAATGAATTCTATTCCTTTCTGGAGAACAGGGATTCATTACTCCGTGAAAAGATGTGTTGTTGATTTTCTTTACTGTTTTTCTTGGCTAACTTAAGAGAAAGGGTAAACAAGTGGGTGGGAAGAGCAATGCTTTGCCTGCGGACTGATGAGCAAGTTGGGAAGCTGGGAATGCCTTCATCAGTGTTGGCCTTTGATAGTAATTCAGTCTGTGACATCAGATAAGTCACTTCTCTTCTACTCAATTTCTCCATCTGAAAAATATGAAGCTATCTTCATCAAGACATCTCACACTAGCAGTGCCGTGACTGATGGGTTGGGAAGTGTTTTGGAGGTGTTGGGGCAGGGAAGGGTGGTCTCCGCAGCCGGCACACTGGGGCTGGGAGAAAGGCATGACGTCCAGCGTCACCTTCCACATGGGACCGAGCACCCTAACGTCCATGTTCATTTTCTAACCTCCAGGGAGACCTGTGGGTTTCATAGCCAAGCCAACTCCCAGGTTGAGGGCTGTTTTCATCTGCATTGTCCATTACACCAGATACTGCAAAACAAATGTGTGAGATGCTCATTCCCTGATGAGGCTGACCAAGAGGCATCCTCTACACCTGCACTTTCAAAGCTCAGCTGCTATAGTTTATTTAATCTTCAGCTAGTAATAATCTGTATTTTCTTCTTTTTCGATTATGCATCCTTTGGTAAAACACATTGAAATACATTTAAATGAAGTGCAGAATCCCTGAATCCATAGGGATTTTTCTACCCTGCTTTGCTCTAACTTGTATCTACCTTTGGAGGCCTTGGACAGAAGTTCCCACTAACGGGTCCCTCTCTTTGGGCTGTGAGGACCATCTTTGAGCACAACAGTCACTGTTTTTAGGAGCCAGCCTGTCCTGAGCCCTGGAGCTGCAGGAGCCTGTGCTGCATCCCCGTCCCCACCCCTGGAAGGGCACCTTGCAAAGGGCCATGGACATTGTTGCATGTGGCCTGCTGCTCCCTAAAAAATGCTCTGTGCGTTTGAAGGAGGCAGCTAAGGTTACCACGCGGTGAAAATGAAAAGAACAAATCCAGTAAAATATGAACGAGTGAAATCTGCCTGAAGACAGGAGAAGGAATTAACAATTTTTCCTTCTTCACAGATTATTGGCAAGAAAGGCAATTAAATAGCCTGATGTAATAGCATCTCATTACTTGCAAGACTGAAAATTAGGTGTTGTAATGACATACCAATACTTGGTTTTCTGATTACCAAGCATACATTAAAGTATATACATATCTGTTTAGCTTTCCTAATTTGCTATTATTTGCCTGTAGATGGTAATTTACTGCCTTAAAATACTGAAAGGAAGAAAGGAAGAAGTCTCTGGCTGCTTTTAGCTCTGGATATAATTTTGACCTTAAGAAAGAACAAGACAGATATGAGGAAGTACATTAGATGTTATTATTACCGTAATAAAATATAGATAAAAATCATAGTGCAGAAAGACTCTAAGACAACTATTAAGCATTTGTCGTATAAAGAAAATCAAAATTTAACTTATCAGATATTCTGGCACTTTAAAGATTCATCATGAAAAATTACTTCTAACAGTGAAGCGTTTATGCAGTATGTCATTGATGAGCCGTCTGCTTAAACGTTTAAAGAGTTTGGAAAAAGATGAAAAAATGTCAAAGATATGCTTTTTATCGATCTGACAGAATGTTTCACTATATTGAAATTTATTTTTAATAGTGAAACAGTAAGGTGTTACATATTTTTTTAAGAAAACAAGCTGAGCTCATTGTGCTACCCGAACATGCGATGGTTAGTGAGCATAACCAAACCGAGACTGTAGCGTCTTGACTGGAAAAATGACACAGCTGTACATCAGACTTCACTCCAGTAGTCAGTTTTAGAGCCAGGGGGA